TACCTATCGTATTGGAGATCATCTGACCGCTGCTGGACAGGAGCAGGTGGTCCATTATGATAGACTGAAACCCTACACTCTACTGAGGCCTCCGAGTTCTTCGTGTAGCCCCCCGGCTCCTCTTCATGTTCCCACGCTATTGGACGAGGGGCTGCTGGATGTGGGAAGTGGGGCGGAGGAGCTTCTGGCCACTGGTGGTTCAGGGACTGTTTATGTTGGAGACTCCAGTGAGCCACAAAAAACTGTTTCTCGTGCAGGCAGAGTTGTGAACCGGCCGGTTCGTTTCCAGGAATTTTTCACTTATAAGTAATGGTTTTCACCTGTTATTGAGGTTCCATGTTGCAGTGACATAATGTACTGAGGTGATGTGGGTTAATGCATTCCCTCGCTGGTGTGGTTCATTTAGTTTGGGTGTGTCTATCCGCTAGTGTGTATCAGCCACCTCTGGTATACGGTAGAGATTAGTAGGGCATACTTTGCTGGGACTGTGTTTTTTGTGTGTGCGTGCCATGCATTATATTGTTTCCTGTGTCATGTCAAATTTTTTGTTGGGGTGTGTTTTGGCAAACAAGTGACTGCTGATGTTAACATGTTTGTTTTTGTAGCGGTGTTGCTGAAACGAGGACGTTTCTTTTTGTAAGGGGGGAGGTATGTAAGCTACTTTGTTGAGTAGAGGCTTTTATTTGAAGTAGGGGAGAAACGGAAGTTGTGATGTTCCGGTTCAACAATGTGCAAGAGACGAAGAGAAAAAAATAAAGATGTCCCGTCTTGGTTCAGACAACGGAGCCTTCGTGTTGCATTTTGGTAACCACATAAAACATGTAGGCGAACTAATAACCGCTCGGTTACAATGTGTTCATGTGACAAACTGGAATATGTTTTTAATGCACTAGCTAATCGTTAAAGCCTGTTACACTGGGCTCTTGTCTTACAGCTTTTTTCACTTGCTAACATGCATCGGTCCAAACTAGGGTTGCCCCCTTCAATACAGAAAAATAAGGGACACCTGCCGCAGCAGGGGCCACACCCCTCATGGGCCCTGCAACCACAGGCCCCATTGGTGTGCCAGTGGTGGTACATCATAACTTAAAACATGTTTTCAGTAAAGTATTTTTGAGATTGATACCGGTGGACGTTATAAAGCTATCTGCTATTGTGTGAACAGATGCTCTCAGTCTCTCTCTGTCACAACTCAACAGACTAGTGGTCAGACTGTCAGAGCTGATTACACAGCTACTAATAATAAACACAGGCCCACAATGTGTGACAGCGAGTACACAAAAAATAGGATGTGTACTGTATTTCATCAACTTATTAAATCAACATGTCCATAAAATATTAACTATAAACAGGCTAAAACAAATGCTTTGATACGATTTGGATTTTCCATGAACATCATGGACATGTGTGGATTAGAAGTAGTAGGCCTTGTGTGCAGTATTCGAGCATGTTAGGCCTACTTCCTTTAATAAATGTTTTCTAGTCAGAAGTACAGTAGTCATGCAGCACTGTTTATCTTTCATACTGCTGCAGTAAAACTGAACAGAAAAGGCTCACGCCTAACGAGCTCCACAGAGCAACTGTTCTTGCTGAGAAATTGCTAATTAACTTGAGTAATTGTAAAGGGTGGTGTGAACCCAGATTTGTGCTAAAATATTTGTCATTGTTTGTCTTTTAGTATTCTTTGGGCTCTGCATAGGCACCTCACAGATATAACTGAACAGCAGTTTTAATCACTTGCCGCAGAGCCCTCAGGTCGTGGGCCGTGTACATCCCATGTTAGTGATGTTTCCAGTGCTTTCTATTGCTCCTCTGTAAAAGCTGAACTGGCGTGGGAATTTGTCCTTCTTAAGCTTCCTCAAGAAATCCAGTCGTTTCTGAGCTTTCTTCACCAGCATGGAGACGTGTGACGACCATGTCAGGTTCTCTGTGATGCTGATTCCCAGGAACCTGAAACTTTTCACCTGCTCCATCTCAGCTCCTCTGATGCAGACAGCGTGTGTCTTTATCTCCTTGGTTTTGCTGACTTTGAGCAGCAGGTTGTTCTCTGAGCACAACTCTGCAAGATTATGAATTTTCTCCTGATATGAATGGACAATAACATCTATATAATCTATGTGGTCAACATAAGCATCTAAACCACCTGCAGCTCTTAACCAATAACGTCTATATAATCTATGTGGTCATCATCAACATCTAAACCACCTGCTGCTCTTAACCAATAACATCTATATAATCTATGTGGTCATCATCAACATCTAAACCACCTGCTGCTCTTAACCAATAACATCTATATAATCTATGTGGTCATCATCAACATCTAAACCACCTGCTGCTCTTAACCAATAACATCTATATAATCTATGTGGTCATCATCAACATCTAAACCACCTGCTGCTCTTAACCAATAACATCTATATTATCTATGTGGTCATCATCAACATGTAAACCACCTGCTGCTCTTAACCAATAACATCTATATTATCTATGTGGTCATCATCAACATCTAAACCACCTGCTGCTCTTAACCAATAACATCTATATTATCTATGTGGTCATCATCAACATGTAAACCACCTGCTGCTCTTAACCAATAACATCTATATAATCTATGTGGTCATCACACAAATTCCTCGTATGTGTACACATACCTGGCAAATAAAGCTGATTCTGATTCTGATTAGCTGATTAGTTAGCACCATCTAGTGGACAGAGAACAAAACTTCACATCTGATCAGTGACGTTTCTGACACTGACTGGATGTAGGTGTTATAAAGGAAAGGTGTGACACTATCTCACGGCCAAATGGAAAACTTATTTATTCTTGTAGCCTTCATCAAATATCAATACAAATGGATCAGAAACATAAAATACATACAACCCCCCCACCACTCAGGTCAGGGAGAGGAACAGGGAAATAAAAATACTTCTGATGAGGTGGAGTCTGACACAGGTTAGACCGGTTTTGACGTCACTCTGATGTTTTTTAGACTCTGAAGTTATGAGGCTGTGACGGCGTCCTCAGATCAGCTGCACACAGACACCAGGACTGACGAGGAAGAAATGAGCAGCTTCTTCTCTCCCAGTGTTTCCTCCACACATGAAGGTGAAAAGTGTCTGTAAGTCGACCTGAAGTGAGTTCAGCAGGTGAGAATCCGACCAGAGGAATCTGTAAATGTCTGATAATCAGGATCACTTTGATCACATTGTGCTGGATCACTGTTTAACTGGACAGTAGAAATGCTTCTTGATGCTGATTGGCTGTTTCTAAATATCTCTTTGAAATCTGCTGTAGAATTTCTCTCCGAGTTAAAGAACAATGATTTCAGAAAGATTTCCCTGTAATATTGTTCATGTTTCTCAAGTAGAATCAGCAGCAGTCTGATTGTAGTCTGAGCTCACATCATCAGTGAAACATGCAGGGTGTGTCTGAACTGGTCTGACAGCTTGGATCCACTTGGCTCAGGTTTCTGGTTTAACTGTTAATACTCTGAAATTAAGTGCATGGATGAAGAGTTCAGGGCTCAAATACAGACATCTTCCAACACTGAGGCGGACTTGGTTTCACTGAAGACCCTTTAGGACAGTCCAGGTCTCAGCTGTCTCTGAGGCTCCAGGACCCTTTCTAGATGGACCAGAGCCAGCCCAGAGTGGAAGGGAACTTAGAGGTGGATTAGGGCCCCTCAGCCGTCAGGGCCCTCACAGGAATAGAGAAGGACCAAAGTAAAATCAGCCATCCTGTGTCTCTCTGCTCATGATTTAAACATTTAAAGACAGAAATAAAGATTTAAAGACACAGACCTTGAGGAGAACTAAAGTGTCCTGAGATGTAAAGCTTGTTGTAATGAATGAGTGCAGCTCTCTCAGCATGTTGTTGTGTTTGTGTGAAGGTGTGGGCTCTGCTATGAATCAGTGTGAGGACAGAGAGGAGGGAGTCCCTCCCTCTAAAAGCACTCTGTGTGGGGAACATGACAGCCAGACCAAAGCTCAGAGGTGAGATGAGGATCTCTAACTGTCCAGGACTCAAATCACTCCACCATCATTATTCACTCTCAAAGCTCTGTGTGTGTTGTGTTGAAGCCCAGAGCAGCAGCAGGGACCAGATTCTGCTGGACCTGGACCTGGACCTGGAATCGAGAGCGTTAAGAATCTCCGGTTGAGGTTTGAACCTTGTAAAGTTAAAGGTGGACAGAAGTTTGCTAAGAAAAGGTGAGAATGTAAAATGTCTGTTAATATTCAACTATCCTAAGAAGAAGTATGATGTTTTGATGAAGCCCAGAGCAGCAGCAGGGACCAGATTCTGCTGGACCTGGATCTGGACCCAGCTGTGTGTCCATGAAGAGTGACCGGTCTATGCTCGAACCTCTTGACTTCAAAGGTGGACACCACTCTGCTGATCAAAGGTAAGCATGTTAGGTTGAGTTTCTTCATTTCATTTGAACACACAGGAAGGGTTAACAGCCCAACCTGCATCTTTTATGAGGGCTGTGATTAAGTTTCTTACTACAGGATTATATAAATACACTCAATGTGATCACGTCATCAAACAGAACACATTGTTCAGGATTCAAATTAAAAAGAGAGATGGGTATATGTATCGACCTGTTGTATTCAGATCACATGACACCGATCAGCTTATCCTAGGTAAACATTTTAATGGAGGGATTTCCTGTCATCCAATGGGTATTATGTCTTTATCAGGCAGTTAAGTAGTCTGTTCTGCTTCTGCTCTACTTCACAGAGTTGATCAGCAGAGCTCAGAGGTTCCCAGTGGTCAGTCTGCCCAGCAACATCAAACAGACCTGGACTCCATATTTATGGTGTGTAAATGTACAAGCTCAGCTACTACTGCTAATTACAGGAGCCACAAAGTAAATAGTGAAGCAGCATTCTGATCCAGTCTCCATGCTGCACTCTGCAGACCAGCAGGCTTTCTGTCTGTCACAGATGATCTGATGTTGACTTCTACCAGTTCAACTTTACATTTTCTTCTGTTCCAGCTGCTCCAGGAAAACATTGGCAGGTTTGTGAAGAACGAGGTGAAGAAGTTCCAGAGAGTTCTGAGTCCAGATTACCCAGAATGCTTAGAGAGTCAGAGGGAGGATGAGGAGGTGTTGGACGGTGAGGAGGAGGAGCAGAGGAGGAGCAGCAGAGAGGCATTTCTGAAGATCACACTGCACTTCCTGAGGAGAATGAAGCAGGAGGAGCTGGCTGAGCGTCTGCAGAGCAGTAAGAGGATTTGAACAGATTTAACATGATGGAAAGAGGAAATGGAGGCAACATGGGAGAAGTTTCCATTTCAAACTCTGCTGTTAATATGATGCACACATTTGGATCAGATCTATGAATTCTTCTGGGCTGAAACTCAGAAACTGTTCACAGCTGATGAGCTGAAGAGATTTCATGGAGGAGGAAAATAAATACCATCTTGATGTCTTAAAGTTTACATTCATCAGATTTACTGTAGCATCCACTTATTAATCACATTTCTTCTTCATTCAGGAACTGCTGCTCCAGTGTGCCGACGTAAACTCAAGTCTAACCTGAAGAAGAAGTTCCAGTGTGTGTTTGAGGGGATTGCTAAAGCAGGAAACCCAACCCTTCTGAACCAGATCTACACAGAGCTCTACATCACAGAGGGAGGGACTGCAGAGGTCAATGATGAACATGAGGTCAGACAGATTGAAACAGCCTCCAGGAAACCAGACAGACCAGAAACAACCATCAGACAAGAAGACATCTTTAAAGCCTCACCTGGAAGAGATGAACCAATCAGAACAGTGATGACAAAGGGAGTGGCTGGCATTGGGAAAACAGTCTTAACACAGAAGTTCACTCTGGACTGGGCTGAAGACAAAGCCAACCAGGACATACAGTTCACATTTCCATTCACTTTCAGAGAGCTGAATGTGCTGAAAGAGAAAAAGTACAGCTTGGTGGAACTTGTTCATCACTTCTTTCCTGAAACCAAAGAAGCAGGAATCTGCAGCTTTGAAGAGTTCCAGGTTGTGTTCATCTTTGACGGTCTGGATGAGTGTCGACTTCCTCTGGACTTCCACAACAATGAGGTCCTGACTGATGTTACAGAGTCCACCTCAGTGGATGTGCTGCTGACAAACCTCATCAGGGGGAACCTGCTTCCCTCTGCTCGCCTCTGGATAACCACACGACCTGCAGCAGCCAATCAGATCCCTCCTGAGTGTGTTGACATGGTGACAGAGGTCAGAGGGTTCACTGCCCCACAGAAGGAGGAGTACTTCAGGAAGAGGTTCAGAGATGAGGAGCAGGCCAGCAGAATCATCTCCCACATCAAGACATCACGAAGCCTCCACATCATGTGCCACATCCCAGTCTTCTGCTGGATCACTGTTACAGTTCTGGAGGAGACGTTGAAGACCAGAGAGGGAGGAGAGCTGCCCAAGACCCTGACTGAGATGTACATCCACTTCCTGGTGGTTCAGTCCAAACTGAAGAACGTCAAGTATGATGGAGGAGCTGAGACAGATCCACACTGGAATAAAAAGAGCAGGAAGATGATTGTGTCTCTGGGAAAACTGGCTTTTGAGCAGCTGCAGAAAGGCAACCTGATCTTCTATGAATCAGACCTGACAGAGTGTGGCATCGATATCAGAGCAGCCTCAGTGTACTCAGGAGTGTTCACACAGATCTTTAAAGAGGAGAGAGGGCTGTACCAGGACAAGGTGTTCTGCTTCGTCCATCTGAGCGTTCAGGAGTTTCTGGCTGCTCTTCATGTCCATCTGACCTTCATCAACTCTGGTGTCAATCTGCTGGCAGAAAAACAATCAACCTCCCGTCGTTCTAAAGTCTTCAGAGACAAACTTAAACTTAAACATCTCTACCAGAGTGCTGTGGACAAGGCCTTACAGAGTCCAAATGGACACCTGGACTTGTTCCTCCGCTTCCTCCTGGGTCTCTCACTGCAGACCAATCAGACTCTCCTACGAGGTCTGCTGACACAGACAGGAAGTAGCTCAAAGACCAATCAGAAAACAGTTGAGTACATCAAGAAGAAGATCAGTGAGAATCTGTCTCCAGAGAGAAGCATCAATCTGTTCCACTGTCTGAATGAACTGAATGATCGTTCTCTAGTTGAGGAGATCCAACAGTCCCTGAGTTCAGGAAGTCTCTCCACAGATAAACTCTCTCCTGCTCAGTGGTCAGCTCTGGTCTACATCTTACTGTCATCAGAAAAAGATCTGGACGTGTTTGACCTGAAGAAATACTCTGCTTCAGAGGAGGCTCTTCTGAGGCTGCTGCCAGTGGTCAAAGCCTCCAACAAAGCTCTGTAGGTTGATAAATGGATGTGCAATTTCTAAAACTGTATATTTGACAAATAAAACATTTAGTTTGTGTCCATTGCTAATCCTTTTTCAGGTTGAGTGGCTGTAACCTCTCAGAGAGAAGCTGTGAAGCTCTGTCCTCAGTTCTCAGCTCCCAGTCCTCTAGTCTGAGAGAGCTGGACCTGAGTAACAACAACCTGCAGGATTCAGGAGTGAAGCTGCTGTCTGCCGGACTCAAGAGTCCACACTGTACACTGGAAACTCTCAGGTCAGTAATAAGCTGTTTCGTTTAAATCCTCTTCATCTGGTTTTAGGTTCAGTTAGTGAAAATGGTCTTTAGGATTTTCCTGCTGTCATGATTTTCTAAAACACAGAGTTTATGATGTTTTCCTGATTCCAGGCTGTCAGGCTGTCTGATCACAGAGGAAGGCTGTGCTTCTCTGGCCTCAGCTCTGAGCTCCAACCCCTCCCATCTGAGAGAGCTGGACCTGAGCTACAATCATCCAGGAGACTCAGGGGTGAAGTTGCTGTCTGCTGGACTGGAGGAGCCACACTGGAGACTGGACACTCTCAGGTTTGGACAGACAACAAGAGCTCACACACTGCATGTGTCTCTAATTTCTGTTATTTTCTGTCAGTCTACTGGAGTCCATCATCATGAAGGACTTCTTATTCCTCCTCATTCTGTTCAGAGCAGTGAGTAGGCCTGAGATAGGAAACACACGGCTCTCAAGAAGTCTTATCGGCTGGAAACCATTAAAAATATCAGAAACTTGGATGTAAAGTAATTCTAATGTGAGACCTGCTTGCAGCATTTCTCTATGGATAGAATCAGGGGTGGACTGGTAATCTGGCATACCAGGTAAATGCCTTGTGGGCCGACGAAACTTTGGGGCCGGTGTAACATAAATTACTTATTTATTCAACTGTTTTAAAAAATGGGCCAACGGTCGGCCCATAAAGCATGTACCGCAGCACATTGGGTAATTTTCTATACTGACACCCCCCCCTCCTCCTCTGCCTTAAATTAAAAATTCTGCAGATGGATGCCACCAAATGCGCAAAATAACCGATATGTTAGCAGGAGGAGAGTGGAGGTGAAGCGGTAAGCATGGAGTAGCTCAGCCTGTAGGGAGGGAGCAGGGAGGGAGGGTCATAGTGTCATTTACACTGGGGACGCTGGGGACATGTCCCCAGCACTTTTTGAAATGGCAGATGTTGTCCACATCACTTTTTGAAAGCATTTGTTAAAAATGTTAATGTTAACAAATGTTAATTAACAAATGAAAATGCTTTGAGGAAGGTTTATTTGCACTATTCTGAAAACCAGCAATGCAATAAAAACATAGAAGAAACATCTGCGTTGTCCAAAAAAAGTAACTTAAGCTAAAACAAAAGCAACAGATTACTGCATTATTCTATTACATTTTTATATTCTGAATCATCACGCCAACTGAATTTGTGCTTCCCTTTACATAAATAAAGACATTCCACCATAAATTGGTGCAGAAAATATCCCCAGAATGCTGGAAATTAAGTGTTTAATGCTCAAAATAGTATTCAAATGTTTTCTTGTCTTGTTCTCGTGACCCCAATCTTGTGCAATGTCACATCTCATGGGCAAAGTGTGTCGTCACCCCCCTAATCTGAGCCCTTAAATGTCCCCACCACTGTTCAACACAAAGTGAAGCCCTTGGGTAGGATGTGTGCCATGCTGTAGTGACAATGATGATGATTACTTCAATTAAGGTTGATGATTATAACATATGAGTACACTGATTCACTTGCACTGGTGCACTTATCCATGGCACATACCACTCGGCTTGTTTGTGTACAGTAGGTACACATGTTATATATGGAAGGATGGTGTATCGGTGAGAAGTGTCCCACCAATTTAGGTGAGCCGCCTGAGCCAACAATGCCAGGGCCAATTTTTCTGTCCCAGTCCAGCTCTGGATAGAAGTGTTTGATGGTTCATCTCAACAACTACTAAATTTGTTGAGATTAATGTAGCTGCAGTGTTACAAGTCTAACTACATTTCTCAGTAGTGTGGTGGTAGCTTCGCTTTTTTCTGATCAAATGGCTTTTCAACAGTGAAGCTCCTTTATTGATCAAGTACCGTGGTAGCATCCACACACTGGGGTTGGGCCGATAGACGATGCCATCGGTGATGGCTGATGGCTGGTGAAAGCAGGATTTAATCCCCAAAAACATTATCATTATCATTTTAAAAATACCTGGTTTGCACCTGTCTCTGAATTCTCTTCTCCCCACACTCACACACACCTAACGTTACATCTCTGTCTCTCTCCGCCTGTCTGCTCCACTTTCTCCATCAGCAGTGTGTTTTATAAAGTCGCCTAAAACACACAGAACTCGTCTTTTTTCATATTGTTCCACCTGTGATCTGTTATCACGGCAGCAGGTGAGCCGCATGCCGGCTTGTTAATGACGTAGCCTATGAAACAACCGAAACCATCTGCACTCTAGTGCCTGCTGTTGCATTACCTGGTCCGTGACTTGTAACGTAATAATGGAGTGCCAAGATTTTTACTGAGTGAAGTCTGTGCGAGTGAAGAGATGCAATAAAATTACTGTTATTATTGTTAATAATAAAATGTACTTCAAAGAACGGAGCACTTCCTGAAGGCTACCATGCCGACCAATCACAGTTCTTGCTGTCTGTCTTTTTTTATTCCTTTTTAATAATATCAAATAGCAACATATATCACCAATCTTAACATTGCAATGGATACTTCACATTAGGGATACCGATGTATTTATAGCTAGGGGGTACAATAACAGAACAATACAGCGAAAATAAATAAGGATATCACAGATATCTGTGAAGGTTCTCAGAAGGTTAAAGTCAAGGGCAACTGGACTTGGTTGAAGGATATCACAGACCTTTAAGCGAGTACAGACATTAAGGAGCCTATCTTCAAAGCCTTTCTGTTGGAGGAGAAACTAAACAAAAATAAAGTTTCTTTCTCAAGGACTATAAATGGGGTTTTTGTCAATTTGCATTTGTGTTTATGAAATTTAGCCAGAAACAACATAAAATGATTAAGAAATAATGGTCGCAGTGTTACACTAAAAAAGATATTCTGCTAGAACAAGCAGAAACCTGAATATATCTAATCATTAATAAATGTAAATACTGTACATCCTGACAAAACATATGTAATGCCGTTTCTGTATGAGTCTCACAGAAGGTACAGTTCTGCATCGCCGCGACATGTTGCATTTTTGGGGAGGTGCAGGTCAGGTTACAGCTTAGATTCGACGTGTAGACACCACAGTCCAAAATTATGATTTTGCTGCATTTAAAAAAGCGCTCTGCCGGAGAACTTTCATCAATATATCAATCAATATAGTTTATAGAGCACTTTAAACAGGGTTGGAGTTACGTGGGAGCCAGTGGGAGCTCAGCTCCCATAAGGAGGTCTGAGCTCCCATGGAAGCAGTAAAATCAGCATCTGTTGCGGTCACTAATTCATTCTTCAACAACCATTCTTTTGAATCACACAATGTATTTTTATTGTTATATTGTTATTATTCACATTAAAAAGATAAACAGACTTAAATGAACATACTTTCCTAATGAACTAATGTTACGCTGCGCACCGCATGACTGACAGGATGGTTCCACTTCTCCACCATCAACCACTATGGTGCGCAGTATAGATTGGACTGAACAGCACTGAGACCGCGACCCGCAAACATTTTGTGTACTGGGACTTTTTCAAGTTGCCGGTCCTCTCCTCTGCCCTCTACACATCAGGTTCTCTGGGCACTCCTGGACAGTCTGTGGTGCAACGTGGCGTTGGTGGATGGAGCGAGACATGATGTCCCAGATGTGCTCAGTTGGATTCAGGTCTGGGGAACGGGCGGGCCGGTCCATAGCATCAATGCCTTCCTCTTGCAGGAACTGCTGACACACTCCAGCCACATGAGGTCTAGCATTGTGTTGCATTAGGAGGAACCCAGGGCCAACTGCACCAGCATATGGTCTCACAAGGGGTCTGAGGATCTCATCTCGGTACCTAATGGCAGTCAGGCTACCTCTGGCGAGCACATGGAGGGCTGTGCGGCCCCCCAAAGAAATGCCACCCCACACCATTACTGACCCGCCGCCAAAGCGGTCATGCTGGAGGATGTTGCAGGCAGCAGAACGTTCTCCACAACATCTCCAGACTCTGTCACGTCTGTCACACCTGCTCAGTGTGAACCTGCTGTCATCTGTGAAGAGCACAGGGTGCCTCCACATCTCCTGATGTACTGGCCGGTCTCCTGGTAGTGCCTCCGTGCTCTGGACACTACGCAGCTCGCATTGATGTGCCATCCTGGAGGAGCTGCACTACCTAAGCCACTTGTGTGGGTTGTAGACTCCGTCTCATGCTACCACTAGAGTGAAAGCACCGCCAGCATTCAAAAGTGACCAAAACATCAGACAGGAAGCACAGGAACTGAGAAGTGGTCTGTGGTCACCACCTGCAGAACCACTCCTTTATTGGGGGGGTCTTGCTAATTGCCTATAATTTCCACCTGTTGTCTTTTCCATTTGCACAACAGCATGTGAAATTGATTGTCAATCAGTGTTGCTTCCTAAGTGGACAGTTTGATTTCACAGGAGTGTGATTGACTTGGAGTTACATTGTGTTGTTTAAGTGTTCCCTTTATTTCTTAGAGCAGTGTATATGTATATATAATTTATATTTCTAAACATTATGTTTTGTCTATTTTACACCAAGTTTGTGATCTTTAGATTGCGTAAATCTCATCTTTGTTAGCACTTTCCAACTAAAAGTTTGACCGGTCTTTCGAGAACTCTCCATATTGAATCATATATCATTTGAAAGTTTTCTACAGCACAACGTTAGCTAGTCCAAATCAAGTCATATTCCTCGCCGAGCAGTTGGAGCATCATCATTTTACACACTGTTTCTGAGGTCTTATAACAAGACATTTACAGAGGTTTTTTAAAAATATCTTATCATCCTTATTTCATGTGGCATTTTATCTGTAAATATAAATAATCCATGAAAAACAATATCTTGATAAACTCTTCTGTAAATGTCTTGAGTCTTATCAATATGCTGGAAAATGGATTTGCCATACACAGACCTGTATGTGTAGCCAACAAAAGCACTTTCGTATGACGGTCACATCACGTACATCAAATCCTTGTGACTTTGCTGCAGGGGAATAAAGACACGAGTTTACTTTCTATTGTGTCGCCTGAACAAAAAGCTCTTGTGAAAAGGATCAGGGTCCAGTCTGACCACCTCTTCCTCTAGTAAGGAGGAAACTTTGATATGTAGAGCAAGACACTTAACCCTTCGTTGCTCCAGAGGCGTCAACCTCTGACATGTATAGCAATTGTAAGTCGCTTTGGATGAAAGCGTCAGCTAAATGAATAAATGAAAGCAGAAAGTCAAATGTTAACAACAATATATATATACAGTGGGGCCAAAAAGTATTTAGTCAGCCACTGATTGTGCAAGTTCTCCTACTTAGAAATATGAGAGAGGTCTGTAATTTTCATCATAGGTACACTTCAACTATGAGAGACAAAATGAGAAAGAAAAATCGAGGAAATCACACTGTAGAACACCAGGAAGAAAATTGTAGACCTGCACCAGGCTGGGAAGAGTGAATCTACAAGAGGCAAGCAGGTTGGTGTGAATACACCAACTGTGGGAGCAATTGTAAGAAAATGGAAGACGTACAAGACCATTGATAATCTCCCTCGATCTGGGGCTCCACGCAAGATCTCATCCCGTGGGGTCAAAATGATCATGAGAACGGTGAGCAAAAATCCCAGAACTACACGGAGGGACATGATGAATGACCTGCAGAGAGCTGGGACCAAAGTAACAAAGGCTACCATCAGTAACACACTATGCCGAGAGGGACGCCAGGCGTGTCCCCCCTGTACATGTCCAGGCCCGTCTGAAGTTTGCCAGAGAGCATATGGATGATCCAGAAGAGGATTGGGAGAATATCATGTGGTCAGATGAAACCAAAATAGAACTTTTTGGTAAAAACTTAGCTCGTCGTGTTTGGAGGAAGAAGAATGCAGAGTTGCATCACCATACCTACCGTGAAGCATGGGGGAGGAAACCTCATGCTTTGGGGCTGTTTTTCTGCAAAGGGGACAGGAAAACTGATCCGTGTTAAGGGAAGAATGAACGGGGCCATGTATCGTGAGAAATCCTCCCATCAGTGAGAGCGTTGAAGATGGAACGTGGCTGGGTCTTCCAGCATGACAATGATCCCAAACACGCCGCTCGGGCTCCGTTAAAAAGCATTTCAAGGTCCTGGAGTGGCCTAGCCAGTCTCCAGACCTCAACCCCATAGAAAAGCTGTGGAGGGAGTTGAAACTCCGTGTTGCCCAGCGACAGCCCCAAAACATCACTGCTCTAGAGGAGATCTGCAGGGAGGAATGGGCCAAAATACCAGCTACAGTGTGCAAACCTGCTGAAGACTTACAGGAAACATTTGACCTCTGTTGTTGCCAACAAAGGTTATGTTACAAAGTATTGAGTTGAACTTTGTCATTGACCAAATACTTATATTTCACCATAATTTACAAATAAATTCTTTAAAAATCCTACAATGTGATTTCCTGGTTTTTTTTTTCCCCCTCATTTTGTGTCTCATAGTTGAAGTGTACCTATGACAAAACAGACCTCATCTTTCTAAATAGGAGAACTTGCACAATCAGTGGCTGACAATACTTTTTTGTGTATCTATCAAAATCTCAATAAATCATATGTTGAAAATGTCATGCTTTTTTTCACAAGCAGCACATCTATTAAAGTAACAATGTTTTTCCACTGGTTCTCAGTTTGTGAGGAAATACATTTTGTTGTAATATTTGGGCGTTTCTGTCTCTCTCTCACGTTGTTACTGTTTAGAGCAGGTCTTTATTCTTTTGCTACTCTGGAATGAAGTTGGTTCAATATAAACAAAGTAGCTCAGATGTAGTAAAGGACTTTTGCCATGTTGCTGTAGCTGAGCTTGCTACGTTTCTCCTGGTTGTAGCTTCAGTGTAGTGAAGCTTCATTTAATGTAGAGTTAACTGGTAGCTTGGCTCACTACATTTTCCAAGTGGTTTGTCCAACACTGTAAACACTAGTGGGGTTTTTCTATTATAAATACAATTGTTAAATATTTAAAGCAAAACAAATGCGCACATTTAGATGCATATAATTATTTGCTGCTGAGAGAAACACCTTCTTGGTGCCTTTATTCTCTGTTAACTTCTTCATTTAGCCTCATATGTCTCTATGAAATACAGTCCTTTATTGATATGAAATTCCCAAGTCAAGTCAGTTTTATTAAGTGCAAAATCACAAACTTGTCTCAAAGCTTTACAATCTGTACATCATGTGGCCTCTCTGTCCTCAGACCCTCTGTTTCTGACAGAAATTACTCAATACAAGTTGAATCTGATCTGAGAACAGTCTGGAAACAGTTTAGTTGTTCATGTGTGAATGCTGGTCAAACTGTTTATTTAGCGGGACAACATGCAGAGGACAATATTTGACATCCTGCTCTCATATTAGTTGTCTTCTTCTTCAAGTCTTTTTCTGTCAGACAGTGAAAGAATCCTGGAGACAGTTGACACAGATGAGTTTCAGCCTGTTTCTCTGTCACACTGACAAACTGAGGAACACTGCTTCATGTTGAACAGCAGTTAGGACTCATGTTGGATAGAAAATCACTCTGACTGTGTTTCTTCCTCCAGGGTGGACCATGGTGGAGAGCAGAGGTTAAAACCTGATGTGAGGAAGTGTAAGTGTGGATTCAATCTGACTCATGATGACAAAACAGCACATAGTCAGTTTCTCTTAATACAAAGTTGATAGTTGTGGTATTTATTCATTCAAACATTACTGACTAAATGCATCATCATTAAACTTTATAGAAATGATCAACATCAGCACACAAACAAAGAATAAACCTTCAGATGTGTCTGATGATAAACTGCTGCTGTGTTGTGTCTCGTTCTCTCCATCAGATTTCTGTGAACTCACACTGGACACAAACACAGCACACAGAAACCTCAAACTGTCTGACAACAACAGGAAGGTGACATGGGTGGAGGAGAAGAAGCCATATCCTGATCATCCAGAGAGATTTGAGTACTGGCCTCAGTTGCTGTGTAGAGATGGTCTGACTGGTCACTGTTACTGGGAGGTCGAGTGGAGAGGAGGAGTTTATATATCAGTGAGTTACAGAGGAATCAGAAGGAGAGGAGACAGTAAAGACTGTCTGTTTGGATTGAATGATCAGTCCTGGAGTCTGATCTGCTCTAATAATGGTTCTTTCTCTGTCTGTCACAATAAGAGAGAAACAGTCCTCCCTATCTCCTCCTCCTTCTCTGACAGAGCAGCAGTGTATGTGGACTGTCCTGCTGGCTCTCTGTCCTTCTACAGAGTCTCCTCTGACACACTGATCCACCTCCACACCTTCAACACCACATTCACTGAACCTCTTTATCCTGGGTTTAGGATCTGGTCCTCTGGTTCCTCCTCAGTGTCTCTGTGTTCTGTGTAGGAGGGAGACAACTTCCAGTCCTGTGGTTTAAATGTTGGTGGTGGACGAGGCTTCGCTTTGGTTAACATCGTGCTCACTGATTGTGCCTTTAATGTCAGAAATGTGTTTTCTTAGAAATGATGAAATGATCTCCTCAGGGCTGAACTTGTTGTGTACAAACTGTGTTGACTTTGATTTTCACTTTAATAAAGTTTTCTTGGAGCAGCATCTAGTAGCTGCTGATGGCTGCAGAGCTTCTCATTTATTTCAATAAAAGTTTGAAGACAAAAACTCGATTTATTCTGTTGCTCAAGGACATTTCTTTTCCTGCTGAGTTTGATCCTCACAAAGGCTAAATCAAAAGATAAGTCAGGCAGGAAGAAAGTGCAACCTTGAAGGTTTATTATTATTATCTGAAAAATATAGAGATATATATAATAGAATTTAGTTTTTTCTCTCAATATTATTTTAATTATTTTATGAAATGAAGTTGTGTCAACAAACATAGTTCATGCAACATACTCCAGTACCGTAGGTGGCGTATGCACCTTTAAAAGTCATGGTTGCAATCTGCCATAAAAGAAGAAGAAAAACACACTCCCAAAGGTGGAACCAACTGCTCATCCGCCCGCTGTGAGTTCAAACACAACGTTTACCTGGTTTAGCCTCCGTGGCTGCTGCTCTCTCACCAAACTCCATTCAGAAAAACACCAATTTAGTAGATCTTCCTTTTATCAACAAAGGCCAAAGCTTTTTTAAACTTGCTATTTAAACTTAACTATTCATTAGAGGCAAGGCTTCATTTCGGCGCAGACCAAATGTACCAAACATTATTGATTTAAGAAGTTTCTGAGGCTCCCTCACCGCTGTGATCCACAAAGAACCTGGTGGCTGGCAACACTCTCTTTGTGGTGAGTAGACTGTTCAAGTGGAACGATTCTCGCTGCCTCTCAGGGTGAGCGTGACAGACGTGTCAGCAGGGCAGGCCTGGGGCCGCTGTGTGAATCGGCAAAGCTTTGTGTTAAAGGTACTATAGTCAAGAAATCACTGGGGGGCAGAGGATTTCTTATAGGTCTGGGACCTGCTGTTGCATCAGTTCTTTTGGGTCTGGGACCCACAGTAAAGTAGGGGTGTGTGAGTCATAGGACTCGCAATAAAATTGAAGAAAAACAATTTTATTTAAAATAAATTTTTTTCATTATTTTACTTGGGGTTGCTGCTCTAGGTGATTACCAAGTAATTAGACAGTATTGTTGAATGCTGAATGTGTTCACTACAGATGTATGAATGAATTGCGACTGGGGAAAAAAAAACACTAACAGACCGTGTGAATGTTGAACAAAGGCTTTTTGTAAACGGGATAGGATTTCCTCAGACTACTAGCTTTGTTAACATTTAATAGAAACACGTAAGAATTTAGACATTATATAGATCTTGTGACAACCTAGAATTCAGCAGGTTTCACCACCGTGGAAAACCCCGGAAACGCCCATTTTATAAATGAGCCACACTGATTCGTTGCCGGATGGCGCGACAATTAAACCTCCTCCTTTTTGTTTTGTTTGTGCCAGAGAAACTTTTTTATTTATCTTTTTTTTTGCTTTGGCACTGGACTGAATTTATTTTTGTGATTTTGAAATGAACTGCAACTCATTTGTGTTTTTGAGATTGTTTGGTTTAAGTGTGCAGAAAACCCGAAATGGAATTTTCAGTTGGTTTGTGTTTTACTTTGTGACTGTATTTTTGTGTGAAATCTTGAAATGCACCAATATTTTGTTTTGTACTAAGCTTTTGAGTTTGTGGTGTTTCTTTCTTTTATGGTCATTCAGTGTTTTTTTTGTTGATTTAAAGCGGGCTCTTCAGTCTCCACCGACCCTGGGTCTCCCCGACTGTAACACACATTTCACCCAGACTGTTGACTAAAAGGGGGGTACATGACCTCAGTACCACTACAAGACCATGGGGGACGACTGAGACCTGCAGCTTATTTTTCATCCAAACTGGACTCTGTTGCAGCCAAACTGCCTGAGAGCTGTTGCTGCTGAAAAAGCAGCCATGGCATCACGTGACATTGTGGGTTATTCAGACTTGACATTGTTGGTTCCACATGCTGTCGATGATTTTGCTTGAACAAAAAACATCTCATCTCTCCACATCCAGGTGGCTGAGATACAACACCGTGTTGCTTGATATATCTAACATTTCTGCACTGTACTGAATCCTGCTACTCTCCTCCCAACTCCAGGTGAAGGACAGCCGCATGATTGTGTTACAGTCATAGCAGAAACCTGCTCTCTAAGGGCAGATTTGCAGGAGACTCCTCTAACAAACCCAGACATGGAGTTGTTTGTGGACGGCTCAGCATCACGTGATCCAGCTCCTGGTAAAAATTGTTTTTGCAGTAACAACTTTGCATGAGACTATTTTACATCATTTGTGCAACTAACAATGGGGGGCGGCCGATTCAGATCCCACAGGTGGCACACCCACCCCCAGACAAACCATTTGAGCACCTGCAAATGGACTTCATTGAACTGACACTGTCACAGGGGAAGAAATATTGTGTTGTCATGGTAGATATGTTCTCTAAATGGGTAGAGGCATTTTCAACATCTAAACAGGATGCAGCAGCAGTTGCAATAGCTTTGATAAGCCAGATCATCGCTGAGCGATCCTAGCTAAGATTAAGATCCAGTGATAACGGCACACCTTTCATTAGCGCAGCACTGAAGAGTGTAGGGGAGGATATGGGGATTGATCTGACGCAACATTGTGCTCATCATCCAGCTAGCGGAGGTGCAGTTGAATAAGAAAATGGCACATTGAAAAACAAGCTTGTTAAATGCTGTGAAGAAACAGGTTTAACATGGACAAAAGCTTTGCCGATCATTTTAATGCACACGAGAAGCCGGATGAGGGGCAGAGGGGGTCTCAGTCCTTTTGAAGTCCTATTTGGCAGACCATTGAACACGGGGACTGGGCCAGTAAAAAGACAACTCCCTGATACCAGCCAATGTGAGGATGAAATGTTGAGATATTGTGCTAATTTGTCCTCTGTGCTTTCTGAAATTCATATGCAGGTCAAAAACACCATCCCGAAGGCCGCAGAGAAGAAACTGCACGATCTGGAGCCAGGGGACTGGATTGTGGGAAAGGACTTCAGGAGAAAGGGCTCGCAGGTGGACCGGGCCATTTCAGATACTGCTAACAACAGAAACAGCAGTAAAAGTGGCTGAAAGAGCAACTGGATTCACGCCACCCACTGCAAACGAGTGCCAAAGCAACCAAAAGGCCTCAAACCAGGCGAAGATCGAGATCAGTGATTGAGCTGAGCTTTCCCCTGCCTTGTGTTCCTAGGGAGGGAGGGGAGTGGAGGTCTCTGAGACCACCTAGAACCACTAATCTCCCAAACACTCACCGCGGGCACACTGAAACCAACAGATGGCTCTGGAGAGGTGACGGACCGAGACAAAACGGAGGCGTTGTTCTGCTCACTGTCATCATTTCCAAACATGAAAACAACAAACTTGGCCTGACTGAGGGAAAGTTCCAGGCCGAAGAGGAGGAGATGCACGTCCTCCCTGACAGCCCGGCTGGGCTGAAAGACAATGCATGGTATGCAACCACGATGACCACTTCAAGAAAAGTAACCAATCAGAGCTGTTATGCGTGTGCACAGCTCCCTCATGGAGTGGGGAACTCCATACCAGTGAAACCCAGACCAATAAATGTTTCAGAGACACTAGGAGCCCTGTTAACCTTCACTCAAGGGTTTCCCAGGGTGGGCCGAGAAGTTAAGGATATGACCAAGACACTTAACTGTGGAACATCAGCATGGTCAACTTTAGGGTTAGGTTCTGGAACACGTCTCAGATAACCACCAGATGTACCTTGGACATGGGTGTCTTTCTATAGGCCCTTTTTTAGCCGACGTCAGAGGTACGTCACAGCATTAGCTGGAGGCAAAACAAACGGACAACCGGAGGCGGCCAATACAAACCAGCACAGGGTCGGCTACACAAGGAGCTTAAAATGTCATCTTGTTGTGTTTGTTGGTTGCCAGAATCGACGGAGTACAGGCAATTTGAAATTTTATCGCATACCTGCTGCCACTGCCATACAAAAACCCGAAGACAGCTGTGGTTAAACGCAATAAAACGAGCGGACTGGACAGAAACGATCATCAAAAATGCTCGCGTATGCAGCGCACACTTCATATCAGGTAAGTTAAGGTAAATAAACTAGTGTCTTTCGTTGATAAAGTAACGTTATCTACATATTTCTCATAATGTTAAATGCCCACTTAAATAGAAATTGTAATGTTAACAGGGTATAGTTATTTCTGTCGTGATGCTGACTTTTTGAGGTCATAGTTAGCAAACTTTGTTCAAAGTACAACTAATTAGCAGTTAGCTAACTGTTAACGTTAGATAACGTTAACATAAACGTACACTGTTGGTGTCGTCTGCCTTTCAATCGTTGCAGGTTTGCAATTGTAGAAAGTACAGTGAGAAGGCCCGTGTCATGTACAGGTATTATGTTCAAGTAGTTGGATTTGCTAACTTTCACCACAGTTAGTAGCCAACGAAAAGGATAACCTTAGCTAGCTAACTACATAATAAGGTAGGCTGACACTAGCTTTAATTACTTCTTCTTATTTTGTAGGACAGGCTTCTATGGATGAAGACAGCCCTGACTTCGTCCCGTCTGTGTTTTCCTATAAATGGCAGAATGACAGGCCTGTGGAAAAGCTGGAGAGGTAGGTGAAATTGAGTTTTCTTAATGTGGCTAGGTGAGTGTTACCATAGGCTGTAACTCGTGTGTGCAGTCTTCCTCACTAAAATCTCTGTCTTCTCTGTTTTGTTCTGCTTTTCTAAGGCTGGAAAGAAAGAGGAAACGGGAATGTTCAACAGTGGAGCAACAGGCTTCTTGCCATGGTAAGAACATTCAAAATGTTTTATGCACAGTACAATGTTTTTGTCATACATACATTTATCAAACTGCTTTGTCATTTGTCTTTCACAAATGTCTTCCAGCTAATGATGATCCAGTGACACCAGAGGAAGCAGTGGAAGAAGCTGAGGCTATGGTCCCTGAAGCAGCATACAACAGTCTCAGTGAGAAGTATGATCAACTCAACACTGAATATGTCAACTTAAGAAAAGACTTTTACCAACTTAAAGAGGAGAATGAAAGACTGAAATAGGAGCTTCAGAAATCACGCTTCTCATTCTCCACGATCAAAAACAATGCTGCACACTTTCTGTTTCTCACTGGGTTAACTTCAGTCATCT